CTTTAGGCAGATGCTTGTGAGGGTCATGCTTCCTGTTTACATACTTTTGCATAGCTTTCTTTGTTGGAAAGAAGTCCCATATACTATCAAAAGCAGAGGGACGGTTAACCTTGGGCTTCTGAAGTTGACCAGCCAACCTCTTCTGCCTGAAGTTAACTTTCTCTTTATATTTGCCCTTCTGGTGATCATTTCTGGCACGACTGACATGAGGTTGTCTGTCAATGAATGGTCTTTTATTTTTGTTATTTTGAAAACCTTTTCTGTTGTTAGGTTTTCTGCCAGGTTCATTATTTTTCAAAAAGGGTTTCTGTTGAACCTTTATCTTACCCTTTTCTGGTCTGACTTCCTCATGAACAACCTTGGTGCCAGATACACCAGCTTGACAGATGGGGCTAGTAATCAGTGGCTCTATGACCTTGTCTGCCTTAGCAACTCTGGTTCTAGGCATTACAGAAGGCTCACCTGATTCTGTTGAGCCATACCCAAGACCAAAAGCAGTGCCAATCTGTTGATCAAGTACAATCTTTTCCATGGAAGACTGGGCCTTCTGGTAAGCTTTGTACTTAATCTCGAGAGGCTCTATTTCTCTTATTCTCTTAAGAAGAGAAACATTTTCAGTTTCCACTTGATCTCTTTCCTCAATTAAAAGATTGATTTTGATCTCAACCTCCTTTTTTAAGTCAAAAATTTCAGCTTTTAACTTACTGTTTTCTTCTGTTACAGAAGAATAAGTGGCTTGTATGGCCTTAAACTCTTCCCAAAATTCTGACATTGAATCAGAATCAAAAGCTAAGCCTACCGAAGAAAAACTAGATTCAGAAGTAGAGGTTACCTCATCATCAGAATGAGCCATCAGGCAAAGGTCTTCTGTCTCAGTATCCAGGCAACAGAAGGCCTCATCAGAATCTGAGTCAGAACTGGATTCTGTTTCTGACAGAGGGTCTTTCTCCAGCTGTTCTGTCACAAGTGCCTTTCTTCTTCTGGAGTTGTCCTCGTACTTCTTCTTTTCTCCATCCTGTCCTTGCTTCTTGGACACTCTAGGATGGGGACAATCAGCCTTGAAGTGACCAAGTTGTCTGCAGTTGTAACAGAGAAGCTCTCCACTGCTTTCTGTTGATTTGACCTTCTGGTATGGCTTTCTGTTGAAAGATGGACTCCTTCCATCTTTGGGATTCTTCATAAACTTTTTGAATCTCCTGGCAAAGGCAGCCATATATTCATCAGATAAGAGTACTGAAGGGTCAAAATCATTTACCTTAGATGTGCTGGCAGTGAGGGCTGTAGTGGTCCTCTCTTCTGGTACTTCTTCCTTCTCTTCAATCATTTCAAACTCATGAGCTTTGAGATCTGAAATGAGCTTATCAGTGGGATAAGTCTTTACATCCTTGCTGGCTTGGACAACAACTACCTTCATCTTCCATGCTGAGGGCAGTCCCCTCAACACCTTCAGGTTGATCTCCTTGGTTGTGAGATCCTTGCCAAACTCAGAGATCTCTCCAGTGAGAGTGAGGAGCCTGTCATACATCTTGGAGATTCTTTCACCAGGGAGAAGTTTGAAGTCATCAAACTTCTTGTTGGCTATGGTTAGTTTGTTGTCCTTCTCTTGCTCATCACCAGCTCTAATGAGCTCAAGAGTATCCCAGATTTCCTTAGCAGTCTTGCACTTCTTGATTCTGTTGAAGTACCTATCATCAATGGACTTGTAGAGGATGTCCTTGGCAATATTGTCTAGGTTGTACTTTCTCCTCTTTTCAGTGGTCCATTCTGACTTGGCTTTGCTGATCATCTGGGGTCTGGTGTTGTCTATGGCATGTTCAGGGTTGACCTTCTGGAAGCTTGTGAAAGGGCCAATATCTAGAACTTCCCACATCTCATCATGCAGGGCACAGAGATGTGCTTTCATCCGGATCCTCCAATCATCAAACTTAAGATCTGAAAACATAAGATTCTTGGACAAGGAGTGATCCATTATATCAGATAGAAATGAGGTAAAACAGAAAAACAAGTGGATCTTTGTTCAACAAATAACCTAAGAGATTATTAGAACAAGGAGGCTCTGATACCACTTGTTGGTCCCAGTTATACTGGATACAGTCTAGAGGGGGTGAATAGACTGTATTGGTTTTTAGCTTTTTAAACTAAGTACCAGATTTACAGAATAGCCTGTTCTGTTGAAAGAACAGACTGGCAGCGGATGGGGTTCTGGCAGGGAGTTCTGTTAGCCTCAGAGAAGCAAAGGCAGTAGGCCTTCTGTTAACTCGTAGAACAAGTTCTGCTGAACACAGATACCAATTCCAATGAGTTATACAGTTCTAACTAAGTGCAAGTATTAAAAGCAGTAAGTAAACGACACCAGGGATTTTTATAGTGGTTCAAGGAACAACTCGTTCCTCTAATCCACTGTTCCACTAAGCTGTAAAAACTACCGTTTACAAAGCCTTAGTCCTAGTACATAAGAAGCACTCCACGTCTTCTTCAAGCCTAGATGCGTCCTGGGATGCACTGCCTGGCTTCCTTTAACACTGGTCCTTTCACTGTGTTTCCTTGAAGTATCACCACTTCACTACTCCAGTTATTTGGACGTCCTTCTTGTAGCAAGAAGAGTTTCTGTTGAAACAGGGGTTCCTCCAACTAGCTTCGTTACAAAATATTTGTATGTGATGAGCTTGAAGAGTTGAAGAACACTTGGAACTTTGCTTGAGTTGGAAAGAGTATTTTTCCAACTTCTGCCTTCTCTTGTAGAAGATAATGAGTTTGAATCTGAAGGAGGCTTTTTGCTTTTCAGAGTTTGAATATCTTGCTTGAAGAGTTGTAGCAAAGGTTAGCAAAATTTGCAAAGTTATCCGGTTGTTCTTCGTAGTGTATCTTTTATACTGAGGTTGTCTTCCCGTTGGAGGAGTAGGAGGACAACTGCATTTAATGCGCGATCAGTTGACTTGACTTGTAGAGCCCGATAAAGTTGGCGGGTTACTATTTTGGGATAAAGTATTCCTGACATTCCGGCCAATCATCTGCAATTACTCTACGTAGCATGGGGTGCATTAAATGAGCATTTAATGCATGCACTGTAGCTTTTCCGTTTCATACTCCTAGCCGTTGAAGGAATCTTTTAGTTGACTTCCCGGTTCTTTGAAAATCTTCTAAGTGTCAGACCTTCTGGTGTCTTTGTCTGAGAGTAGAACAGAGGAGGTCTGGAGCACTTCTGTTGGGAGTATCCAACAGAGACCCAGAAGGGTTTCTGTCAAAGTCAAGACTCACAGAGATCCTGAGGACTTCTGTTCTGGAGCAGAGAACCAAAGGTCCTCTGTTTCAATAAAGCCTTACGAGGGTCTTCTGCTCTGGGAGCCCTTCTGCTCTTGAAGCCCTTCTGCTCTTGAAGGTCTTCTGTCAAGTCGAATACATCTAAGAACTTTACAAAGGAAAATTCTAATACATAGTTTCTAAAGAGGTACTCTACAGTCCTAATTAATATAGCATCATCAAAATCTAAATACAATTATTCCTTACAATTCTGGCGGGCATTCGTCAACCAGCTGAAATGTTTCTTGGGCGTGGAGCTCGATGCGAACTGAGCCATGAACTGTCGGGATAATTGTTCAAAGTTATCGATCGATCCGGGCCTGAGCTGCCCGAACCATTCCCTCGCTGGTCCTCTGAGGGTGCTGAAGAAAAGCCTGCAGACGGCCTCGTCGGAGGCTCCCAGCATAGAGAGCGTCCCTTGGTAAGATAGTAGATGGGCCTTGGGGTCCCTGGCCCCATCATAAATCAGAGTTCTAGGAGGCCGGACGTCCCTTGAGATGTCCACTTCCATTACCCTGGCAGAGAAAAGGGGTGAAAGTGCAATCCTGGGCTGCGCCGGCGTATTCTTTGTACGTCGGTTCAGTTCATTTATCTGCCTCTGCATCTCCATGAGTATGGCATCCCGTGGATCGGTTGCAGAGGGTGTGGGGTTTACTACCGCCAAGGTGTTTCCCCTCGGCGCGATCCCGAAGTTATGTTGCCCATGGTGGATCCGGGCCTCTGCCATCATGCCATCCATCATGGGAGTGTGCTCCCTGGCCGCTCGTCCATTACGGGGCATGACTGGCGTGGGGTCCTGGATCATGTGACGCTGCGTTCCCCCGAAGGGCCCGGCTCCTCCAGCGCCCCCCATGTCCGGAGATTAGATATTCTGAGTGATCCTGGAATGGACCGAGCGGCGAGAATGGTTATTTTCACCGGTACGCTCTGCGAAAGATTGCATAGGGTGGATAGGTGAGAGCGGGGTCCGCTCAGTGTTAGCGGTATGTATGTGCTCCACCTCGCGTTGGTCTGCCAGTCGGCGGATGGTGTCTGCGATTTCTCGTAGTGCGTCGGGGTCCCTCCGGAGCTCCTGGGGGATCAGGTCAGTGAGCATCCCGAAGTCCCCCCGGCTCCACAGGCTGCTGGACTGAGCCCCCGCCGCATGGTTGCGGCTTCTCCTACTGTGAGCCAATCGGGAAGAGAGGTTTTGAGAGTTCCCTGTGTTGTTGGTAGTCATCTTACTTGCTTTTAATTGTCTTAGAGTTTTTTAATTGGAGAACTTAGTCGGAAGAACTTTTTGATCAGTTTCCCACAGACGACGCCAGTGTTGAGGTTTATTCCCTCAACCCGTAGGCCCAACACGTAACCTAGGGTTTTCAAATGGGTGAAGAACAAATAAGATCAATAAACAACAGGGAAATGGGCCAACAATCGTATTTTAATCACTCAAACGATTACAAGCCGAAGGGCCGAACGCACTATGCTTATGCTATGAGCTGTTATTGCTGCTATAATGCTAGAGTCAAAGTGCGAACCCTTTACAATGAAATAAATGCGATTGTTTATACCATCCATGGGTGGTTGGGGGTGCTGACGTGGTTGGCTGTGGGTGACATGATCCCAACCACCAAATCTCCCGCATTTAATGCGTTTCCCACCAGGATCTCGGTTTTCCGCCATGGTGTGGGGACGTTCGTCCCTCAGGGCTGGACCCAATCTTTTGGTGGCAGCCTGATCCCCATGGTGAGAGCTATGAGACGTACGTCCCCTGGCCCTTGGGCCCTGAAACTGCGGTATGTTGGACTACGTATGTCACGCCCCGGACCGCATCCGAGCCACGTAGACAACCACCGTACAACCCGATAAGAACAACAACAGTTCATCCCTATTGAATTGTACAAGGCGTCCGATTGATTCTATTGCCAAACCGATTAGTAAACACATATAATCAACATCAATATCATAATCAAACAAATGCGGAAATAATAATATGTTTGATACTTAGCCACACGTGGCAAACACGGGCACGCAGGCCCCAACTGTTTTAAGGAAAACACTGTTCAAAAATCCATGAACGGTTTATAAATTTCAAATACGAATGGAAGCACGAACCACATCTTCCTCCTTGATATCCACCACCATATACATATTATCTAGTCCAAGATTATTATAATATGTGGTCCCGATAATATCGGGCGGCCCCACTTCCGGTGTGGGTCCCACATGAATTTTACTATTCACGTAAAAGAAATGATAGAAATTTACAATTACGTAAAAATGCTTTTATTTATTTCCCAGGGTTCAATACATAATTTGATAAGGTACAATTACTTGGGGGCGGTGTTACAAGTTCTACCCCCCTTATTTGGGATTTCGTCCCCGAAATCCACGTGTCTAATCAAACAGAAATGGATATTGTTCCCTCATCAAGGTCTCCACTTCCCAAGTTTGCTCCTCGATTCGATCACTCTTCCAAAATACCTTTACCATCGACACCTCTTTGCTCCTTAGCTTCTTCACCTGTCGGTCTATGATCTTTACCGACTGCACCGTATAGTGTAGGTCTTCTCGGATTTTCACCGGTGGTTTCTCAAGAATATGTGACGGGTCCCGCACATACTTCTTGAGCATAGAAACATGAAATACATTGTGAATTTTCTCTAACTCCGGGGTCAACTGAAGTCGGTAAGCTACAACCCCGATCCTTTCAAGGATTTTGAACGGACCTATATAGCGTGGGTTAAGCTTACCCCGACTGAGGAACCTGATGATCCCTTTCCAAGGTGACACCCTCAGAAATACCTCGTCACCGACCTCAAACTCCAACGTCCTCCGACGTTTATCAGCATAGCTCTTCTGCCGGTCTTGAGCAGCCTTGAGCCTATCCTGTATGACTTTTATCTTCTCTTTAGTGATCTCGACTAGCTCGGTGCCCTCGAGCTTAGCCTCGCCGACCTCGTCCCAACACAATGGTGTCCGGCATTTCCTCCCATACAATGCTTCGTATGGAGGCATGCCTATACTTGCCTGATAACTGTTGTTGTAGGTGAATTCCACTAAGTCCAACTGATTGTCCCAGCTTCCTCGGAACTCCAAGGCACATGCCCTCAACATGTCCTCCAAAATCTGAATCACCCGTTCAGATTGCCCATCCGTTTGAGGATGAAATGCGGTGTTAAACCTCAATTTCGTACCCATGGATTCCTGGAACTTAGGCCAAAAGCGTGATGTCAACCGTGGGTCTCTATCCGATACTATAGTAACCGGAACCCCACGCAGCCTCACAATCTCATCTGTGTACAATTTGGCCAATCGCTCGAGCGTATAGGTAGTGTTGATAGGTAGAAAATGAGCACTCTTGGTCAGTCTATCAACCACCACCCATACTGCGTCGTAGTTCTTAACCGTCCATGGCAGACCCACCACGAAGTCCATGGTAACATGCTCCCACTTCCATTCTGGAATGGTAAGTGGTAGTAACCCTGCTGGGTGTTGGTGTTCTGCTTTAACCTGTTGACAGGTAAGGCAACGACTCACGTATTCTGCAATCTCTCTCTTCATCCCCGACCACCAGTAACTTTCTTTCAAGTCCCGGTACATCTTTGTACCGCCCGGGTGCATGGCATACGCAGATGAGTGAGCCTCCTCAAGGATAGATTTTCGGAGCTCCTCATCCGATGGCACACACACTCATTCCTTGAATAGTAGAATTCCATCTTCTCTCTCACGGAAACCCTCGACGAGCCCCACAAGCATTCGTTCCCGAATTTTCTGAAATTCCTCGTCATTGCCTTGACATGTTCTGATTTCATCTAATAAGATGGGTCTCACCTCAAATCTGGCCAATAGCGTCCCATCCGTGGATACCTCCACGCGTGCCCTCAATGCCCGTAAGCATGTGAGTAAAACCCCTGATGATGAGCTCTTCCTGCTCAATGCATCGGCTACTACATTAGCCTTGCCTGGATGATAGTCAATGATCAAGTTTTAATCCTTGATCAACTCCATCCATCTTCTCTGTCTCATGTTCAACTCTTTCTGAGTGAACACATACTTCAAGCTCTTGTGGTCAGTATAGATGTGACACAACTCTCCGTAGAGGTAGTGTCTCCAAATCTTCAATGCAAACACCACATCACCTAGCTCCAGATCATGTGTGGGGTAGTTTACTTCATGCTTTCTCAACTGCCAAGAAGCATAAGCAATTACCTTCCTCGGTTGCATCAGTACACATCCCAGTCCCTGAATGTTGGCATCACTGTAGATGTCATACCCTAACCCTTGCACGGGTAAGGCAAGCACTGGTGCTTCGGTCAAACGTTTCTTTAACTCAAGAAACCCCTTCTCACACTTGTCATCCCACACAAACTTAGCCCCCTTTTTAGTGAGCTTCGTGAGTGGAGATGTTATCACCGAGAACTTCTCCACAAATTTGCGGTAATACCCCGCTAAACCGAGGAAACTCCTTATCTCCTTCACATTCTTGGGCCTCTCCCAATTAGTGATCGCTTCAATCTTTGAGTTATCAACTGAAATGCCCGAGCCCGATACCACATGCCCGAGGAAACCGATCTCCCCAAGCCAAAATTCACATTTAGAGAATTTGGCAAAGAGTTGCTTCTCCTGCAGTGTTTCAAACACAAGCCTTAGATGTTTTTCGTGCTCCTCTTCATTCATGGAGTATATCAAAATGTCATCAATGAACACTATGACGAATTGGTCCAAGTATTGATGGAATACTCGATTCATGAGGTCCATGAATGCCGCGGGTGCGTTCGTAAGCCCAAACGACATTACTAGGAACTCATAGTGACCATACCTTGTACGAAATGCACTTTTGGGTATGTCACTCTTCTTGATCTTCAGTTGATGGTAGCCTGACCTCAAGTCGATCTTAGAGAACACGGTTGCCCCCCGTAGTTGATCAAATAAGTCATTGATCCTTGGCAAAGGGTATTTGTTCTTTACCGTGACCTTGTTCAACTGACGATAATCGATACACATTCTGAGTGTACCATCTTTCTTCTTTACAAAGAGTACCAGTGCTCCCCACGGTGAATGACTCGGCCTAATGAATCCGTTGTCCAGTAATTCTTCTAATTTAACCTTCAACTCTTGAAGTTCAGCCGGTGCCATCCGATATGGAGGAATCAAGATGGGTTTTGTACCGGGTTCTACTTCAATGGTGAACTCAATTTCTCGATCTGGTGGGAGTCCCGGGAGTTCTTCAGGGAAAACTTCTGGGTACTCACTCACCACTCTCACCTCAATGAGACTCTTTCCCTTGCCTTCCTTGCCTATGACATAGGCCAAGCATGCTTGACACCCTTTCCTCATCATACACCTTGCTCTTATGGCCGATATGATACAAGGATTGAATTTCCCTCTATCTCCCTCGAAGCATAGAGTATTTCCTTCTCCATCTTTTAGTTCTAACATCTTGGTGTAGCAATCTACTTTCGCATGGAGTTTTTCGAGCCAATCCATGCCCAGTATAGCATCAAACTCGAGCATATCTAACGACACAAAGTCACCCGTTAGACAGTGCTCCCCTATCCCTACATTACGCGAGGGATAGTAGTGTTTCCGCTCTACATCATCTCCCAATGGCGTGGAGACCAACAAAGGTTGTATCATTGCTACCAAAGGCATGTCCAAACCCTTGGCAAACGCTTCGCTCACAAATGAACGTTGTGCTCCGGTATCGATGAGAATTCTCGCATCCCTATCGTTGATCGTTAGTGTCCCTACATACATAAGTCATGCAAGACACACTACTCAACATCCCGACTGAAAAGGACCGAACGAAAAAAAATTCAGCCTAGGGATACCCTATACCCGGTCGGGTAGGGTCCTCTACCCGGTCGGGTATCACTCGAGTCCTTAAGGAAAAACCTTCTGTTTTCCTTGCTCGGTCGAGTACCGGCCTCGAACCCGAACAATTTATCTATACCCGGTCGGGTATATTCCCATACCCGGTCGGGCATGGCTAAAAACATCACAACGTTCTGCTCTGAATGTTCGATCGGGCACACACTTCAAACTCGAGATAAATGTCGATACCTGGTCGAGTATATGCCTATACCCGGTCGAGTATCACTCAAAATTTCCAATTTAATAGCTTCCTGTCATCAACGCTCGATCGAGTACACACCTCGAAGCTCAATTTTTACACATACCCGATCGAGTATATAGCCATACCCGATCGGGTATTGCTCGAAGTGTCAAAAATGAAGGATTCTGCCACGCTTGCCCGAACGAGTACACACTTCAAAATCGAAGCATGGTCTATACCCGGTCGGGTCTATAGGGATACCCGATCGGGTCCTTCATATTTTTTTTGAAGATTTTTAATCCAAATACATCAACAAAATGCGTGTGTAATCACGAGATTACCTGCAATGGAGTCCGGGTTGGCCCGAGCATCAGCCTTGGTCATAGCATATACCTGTGCCTGGGTCCTCCCTTGGTTAACGGACGCGGCGTTGCTAGCCGTGGGTCCGCCCCTTCCTGCGTCGGCCTGGGATGGTCCCGCGTGTCCCCTACTAGCCGTAGGTCCTTCCATAACCCCCGATGGTCCCCATCCATTCAACATTGGGTAAGAGGATTTGAGGTGGCTCGTGCTACCACATTTGTAACATCGGGGTGGTTCATTGCACTTCCCCGCATGGTTCTTGCCGCAATTTGCGCACCTCGGTGACCATGTACTCCCTTGTTTTGCCCCTTGCCCTTCTGAGCCCTTATTCCTTTTCGTCGGTGGTGCCGGCGCCCTGAATGAATTGCCACCCCCGGCGTGATGCTTCCGAGAGTGGTCTTGGGGTCCAGAGTTTCCCCATCTTCTCTTCTTCGCCTCCTCGGCGTCCCTCAACTTCCTCTCGTTCCATTGGGCTTCCCCAAGGAGCCCTTGATCGACGATCTGGCTAAATGTCATGTTATGATGGTAAGTAGCCCGGTCACGGATGTCCAACTGTAGAGCATCCCAAAAGTGATTGGCCATACGATTTTCATCCAAAGAGTATTCTGGGATGAATCGTGCCAAGTCACGGAACCTCTGTTCCAATTGCCTCACCGAGCAACCATCCTATTGTTTCAGGTTTGTGTACTCTCTCCTTTTGAGATTGACTTCAAAAATTGAGTAGTACTGATTATAAAACTCCACTTCGAATTTCTCCTAAGTGGCTTCACCGTGGAACTTCCCTTCCACGCCTTCCCACCACACAGCAGCTACCCCCTCAAGTAGCCTGGTGACAACCCTCAACTTCACGTCGAGTCCAATTTGCATGTCCCTGGAAGCATCATTCAGCTTCTTAATCCAGTCGGCGGCCTCAGAAATGTCGCCCTTGCCATCAAATGACTTGCACCCCAAGGCTCTAGCCTCCTTGAGGTACTTGGAGATACGTACCATCGTGTCTCCACCGAATGCCCCAGATGGAGCACTAGAAGCCCCCCGGCTCCCCTGTCCCACGGCTTGCCTAACCTGTCTAGCTTGGCGCCGCTGCTCTCTCTTTGCCTTATTTTCCAGGTACCATTCTAGTACCTCACTCATACGGTCATAATGAGGATCGTCATCCTCATCTTCTTCATCAAAGTCCTCCCCGTTGTACGGGGTCTCCTCTTGCTCCGTGCTTGGAGCATATGTGAAATCGTCCGGTTCGGTGATCCAAGATGGGTGCACAGAACCGACACGCGTGCTACTTGCCATCGACGTTGTAGAACGCCCACGACCCCTGCCTCGGCCTTGGCCCCGGCCTCTACCCCTAGAGGTCCGTGATTCAGCCCGTGTATCGTGCCCGGTGGCCCCCGGTGCATGACCCGTCGGGTTCCTCCTAGTAATCCTGCGTCCACCCTCCATTTCTGAAAGAAATAAGGAATGAGTCATTAGACTCATTTCAATGTCAATTGACAGATTAGTACAGAAGACACCACTTGGTCCAACATTATGGCCAACAAACTGTTAAGGGTACCGTTTTAACAATAAGAGGTCAATAACTTGGTTTCAAACGGTTCCTTAAGTACAAAAACTTTTGCTCATGGTTTTATTCAAAACTTTTTGAGGATAACCATATTGAGAGGTTAATTATATAGTTTAGAAACCGATGGCTCTGATACCACTTAATTGTCACGCCCTGGACCGCATCCGAGCCACGTAGACAACCGCCGTACAACCCGATAAGAACAACAACAGTTCATCCCTATTGAATTGTACAAGGCGTCCGATTGATTCTATTGCCAAACCGATTAGTAAACACATATAATCAACATCAATATCATAATCAAACAAATGCGGAAATAATAATATGTTTGATACTTAGCCACACGTGGCAAACACGGGCACGCAGGCCCCCAACTGTTTTAAGGAAAACATTGTTCAAAAATCCATGAGCGGTTTATAAATTTCAAATACGAATGGAAGCACGAACCACATCTTCCTCCTTGAATGATCACCCTAGGCAAAGGTGCAGGTAGTAGGACTCTAGCCTTAATCTGGAAAATGTGAGGCCCCCCGGAGGGGTCAGTACTCCATAGAAGTACTAGTGACAAGTAGGCTATATGAAGAATAACTAATGTTTCAGACACGAGACCCAAAAATAGGGTGATACATATATATAGATGTCTCTCATCCACCCGATGATACATACTGTATATATACTCGTAAAATACTCAACCCGTAGGTCATTTACCTTAAAGATTCTTTTAGAGATAAAGTTCTTACCTGACTTTTCTCACTCCTTTCCCGGTTGCCGAGCTCACAAGCTATAGTCTACCTTCGATTCATACTACCGAGTGTTTTAGGATCATTTACCGTCCAAGGCACTCAACCCCACCTAGAGTATTTAGGATCATTTACCGTCCAAGGGTACTCGGCCCCACCTGGAGTATTCTGGATCATTTACCGTCCAAGGGTACTCGACCCCACCTGGAGTATTCTGGATCATTTACCGTCCAAGGGCACTCGACCCCACCTGGAGTATTCTGGATCATTTACCGTCCAAGGGTACTCGACCCCACTTGGAGTATTCTGGATCATTTACCGTCCAAGGGTACTCGACCCCACCTGGAATATTCTGGATCATATACCGTCCAAAGGTACTCGACCCCACCTGGAGTATTCTGGATCATTTACCGTTCAAGGGTACTCAATCCCCAGTCTATCCTCTACCAAATCCTAACCTGGATAAGGCTAACCTTTCATTCCTTTAACTATGGACAATGCCTAGCCCTATAGTCATATAACAATCCTTAGGAACCAACGTGGGTGGGTCCCACCTGAACGGCCCACGTTAACCTACTCAAAACTGCCCGTTTTGAGCATAAACCAATACTCGATCGAGTATCTACCCATACTCGATCGAGTACAGGAGACAGTAGCCCACAAAGCTAATTTTCAATGTATACTCGATCGAGTATCTACCCATACTCGATCGGGTATAGGAGGCAGTAGCCCCCTAGGGCAATTCTTTAGCAAATACCCGGTCGGGTATGTGTCAATACCCGGTCGGGTATGGCAGTTGACTTGACGGTCAACGCTCGTTTGACCACCCAAACGGAGTCCGATTAACGTGAAATTTTACACACATATACTTCTTGACGTCCTTGATCCAAAAATACCATTTTGGATCCCTGGAACATCACACATAATAAGTTATCACATTTTTAATCACCAAACCTACATAACATGCTTTTCAACTATGTTTTATGTATAATCATGGCATAAGCAACCACTTGGTTATCTTTAATCATTCCACAAAACATAGCCTTGATTACTTTAGGTAATCTCAGGCCTCACGCAAAAGTTATAAAGCATAAAGCCGTCTTCTCACCTTAATGAAGCTTATGAAGTTCTAGCCTTCCCGATTTAGCTTCGGCGAAACTCCGGCGAACTTCAACGAACTCCGGCGACAACTCCGATGACCCTTTCAACTCCGTGAAAGTTCCTTGAATACCTTAGACAAGTTACTAACAAGGTTTTATCATCATAAAACCCATAGTAATATAAATAACCTCAAAAGGTTATTTTCCGGCGAACCGGTCACTTTGGCTTCTAAGTCCGTTCTTGGACTTTAAACTACCTTCCAACCCCTCATTCTACACTTCCCAACATGTAGAACAATACTAGGGTGTGAAATATGATTGAATAATCATATAAGAGGATTGAAGAACAAGAAATGGGATTAATGGAGTCATTACCTTGTTAAACACAAGTTTTTCTCTCTAAAGCCAACTTTTCTCTTCTCTTTCCCCCCTCCTTCTTCCTCCTTGAACTTGGTGCGTGTATGATGGATGAAAATGGTGTTCTTGGAGAGCTTCTCCCTCTTCCTTGGATCATGTGGTCGAGCTGAATGAGTGTGGTTGAAGGAAACCCCCCACTTTTGTCTTCAATAGCACAAATAATGTGTATAAGGGGCCCTTGGATGATAAAGTTGGTCTCTCCATCACTTCAGCCTCAATTCACAGCTCTCATACGCCTCCCCTGCCCTCCTTGCAGAGCTAAAATCGTGGGTTGGCCCCCACTTATGTGGGAGGTCAACCCTTTATGTCCCGGAGTGTACAATCGGCCCCGAAAGTTGTATTTTCCGGACTGTTTTAACTATATTTTATTTTATCGGGTCAAATAAAATATAACACTTGTTCCCAAATCCTTATTGGACCTTAGAAGGAATATGTACTCCTCAACTTTAATTTAGAAGTCTCCGAAATCTCTTTTTGGGCTGTTATCTGATAAATTGCCGATACTGATAATTTGACCCCGTTTGACCAACCGGTCAATCCTATGCCATTGCCATGGCCCAATTAGGATATCCACCACCATATACATATTATCTAGTCCAAGATTAATATAATATGTGGTCTCGATAATATCGGGCGGCCCCACTTCCGGTGTGGGACCCATGTGAATTTTACTATTCACGTAAAAGAAATGATAGAATTTTACAATTACGTAAAAATGCTTTTATTCATTTCCCAGGGTTCAATACATAATTTGATAAGGTACAATTACTTGAGGGGCGGTGTTACAACGTACGTCCTCTGGTCCTTGGGCCCTGAAACTGGGGTATGCTGGACTACGTGCGTCCCCTGATCCTTGGGCCCTGAGACTGGGGCACGCTGGACTACGTACGTCCCCTGACCCTTGGACCCTGACCTTCCTTTTGGGCCTGTAGCAAGATGCTCCTAGGTGATCCTTAAGGGTTGATGGGCCGACCCTGTGTTGGGCCATTAACCCAACAACATCATAACAAAAAAATGCATCAGTTTTTGAACTTTAATAACATGTTTTTTATATTAAAAAAATGTTTCTATCTACTTTCACATCTGTACTATTTTTATACTATTATAACATTATTTTTAAAATTTATATGAATTTTTATAAGATTTATCAATATTCCTAATTTAATTTTTAAAAAATAACCTGCTACAATAGCTCAAAATGACTTGATTTATTGTATGTTAAAATTAAGCGTACTTATAATACTTCCTCCGTCCCTAAAAGGATTGTCATGTTTGACTGGCACGTAGAATAATAAAGTAAAAACTGTGTGATACAGATTTGTGCAGAGGAGAGAGAAATAACAGGAACCACAAATTGATTGATTAAAAGGGAAAGTGACAAAGTTTTTTGGAACAACAAAAAAGGAAAGTTGACAAAATTATAAGGGACGGAGGGAGTATTTTTTAGTAGAAGAACTTAAGTAATGGATTAAAAATAGTAGAAGGATCTATTTGACCATTTACCATTTTTTAATAAATGACATACATCAGCTTTAACCGGTAAATTACGGCTGAGGAAAGTCATCTGCACTATATGGTCGAGTTGGAGAATTTGGTTACATTTTTTTTATTTAAAGGATGATTTGCACTATATGGTCGAGTTGGAGGTCCTGGTTGCACATTTTTATAATTCAGGGGGGTGATTTGTAGTATTTGCATTAGTTCGAGACTTCGAGGGCTGAATTGGTATAGTTCGAGCGGTACATATTTCGTATTTGAATTGGACAGGAACTGAAAGCTTGAAAAGTTTTAGATCGAAGATGAGATAGGTATGTAACTGGTTCAGGTCATTTGTACTAACCGGTAAGTTTTCTTGAACGTATGACATTGTGGTCAGACAGAAGTACTATGATGGCCAGTCCACACGGTCTAGTGATGATGAAAGTATGGTTTCAGCATTTGATTAATGGTAGTCCAAATCTGTAATGCCACGATGTGATTTTAGGATGTCACTACAACTTAAGAATGGCAGTATTTATTTGGCTGACCTTAATGACATTTCACGATGGTTGTATGTATTATTTGAGGATTATAGTATTTGCTTTACTTGAACAAGATTGAATAACTAACACAGTACACACATTTTATACTTTTTGGATTTTTACATAGTAAAGATCGAATAACTAACAAGATTGAAACTACAATAACAGTAGTATATACATATTGAAGATAGAAATGTACCAAAGCTTGATTCTACATTGTTTCTTGCATCTCATCTTCATTTCTCCATACAACATCATCAAGGGAACTTGAAAGATTTTTATAGAACTGCGGACAAAGACGTGAAAAAGAATGCTCATCTGCTAATATAGAAATGTTTTCTCCATTTGCCTTCTGCTAATGTGAGCTAACTGAAATGCAAAATCTTTATGGATAACGAAAACTGCATCAAGAGTTTATTTTTTACCTTGTGGAATTCCAATGTGTCTCCTTTTGCTTTTCTCACTTCAACAACATGTACAGAGGGAGCAACTTGGAATACCTGGAGTGAGAACGTTCATACAAACTCAAGGTCCGTTTGGTAATGTTTCAGATTTTTGTTATGTTTCGGTTTCAAATATCTAAAATATAATATGTATTTTAAAATTGATAAAATAGAAACAGTTTTTCAAAAACAATGATATCAGGTTTACAAGCGCATTTTCTTGTTTCTGCTTTCAAAAAAGTTCAGAAAAGCAATACAGAACAAAGAGTGCTACCAAACGAGAAAATAACATCCTTTTGAAGTATGAAACGAACTGTATTAAAAAGAAGATGAAATTCATATTCATTTACCTCAGTTGCAACATTTAGATTTCCTTTTCTTCCTGCTTTTATGTTGTTTAACCGCATCTGGAATGAAAAAGAAAACAAGTAACCAGTTAATTGTCTACCAATAGTTTAGTTCTTTCTTTAAGTCACACTAATGAATGAATTAACTGTCTAAAGCTCTATACTGTAACCGTGTTAGGAATAGATATTAAATGGGCCTATTATTAGAATTAATAATAAGTGGGCCTATTATTGTAGATAATAATAAGTGGGCTTGTACTATAAATAGAAAGAGGAGGGTAGGCAAATAGGCAGGCAAGTATTTGGGACTTGGATAGGCTAGGAGACTGGGCATCTCGAATTGTCCGTTGTATTCATTCCGTAAACACATCGTTCATCAATAAACATTTTCTTCATCTCTTCTTGATCAATTTCTTAGTGATTCTCTACAATTCTAAGTCAGAATTATCGGGCTCTAACATTGGTATCAGAGCATTAAGCTCCTGGCGACTTCAGGATTGATCGGAGAAGTATATGAATCCAGAATTTTTTTTTCATTCGAAGGTGGATGGTTAGAGTTAGAGGTAAAATGGATCAGTGCATGGATTTGCTGGAGCGGAATCAGCAAGAGGTGAAGTTAAAGCTGGATAACCTTGCGAGAAAGCTAGCTGCTATGGAAGAACATTTACAGGCAAGAAGAAGATCGCGAACAGTTTTGCTTAATTCGCAAACCTCATCGCTTGCGCAGGGCTATTCTCAGCCGCGAACAGATGTCCGCAGTTCACAGGCCCCTTCGCGTACAACTTCTCATAGGTCGCACAGTTCGACACTCACGTATCATTCCAGTTCACAAGAATCTTCGCCAAGAACTACTGTTTGTTCTTACGGTCCATCATCGGAATTCCTCATACGTTTGCAGAAGTCTTCGCAATCACACTCGCAAACTTCTTCTTCTCCAAGTGAAACAAGATTGACAGGAGGGTTCAATTCACAAGTTTTGTCTAAGTCACAAGCAACTTTCCCCAGTTCCCCGGCTTTGTCGCGAGCTGACTCTCTCAGTTTGGGTCAAAGTACGAAGCCTTCGAGAAGCGAACTTTTCAGTTCTCAGACGATACCTAACAAAGATGAGGTATTCGGGAATCAAGGACAAAGCCGAACCAGAAGAGAGATAGAGCTGTCTCTAGTCAATAAAGAGGAGATATCGGCGGTGGTGACTCAATCCTCTATCTCCGTAGACTATGAATCGGTAGTTGATAAATTTGCTGGTTCAAACACTTGGGAAAGCTCTACAGGGACTGTCCACACTTGGAAAGAAGCTTCAGGGAATCATCAGCGCATACACTAATGCTACTGAGGAACTAATCAAACAAAGATGGATACCTAAGATTGAAAAACATGGTTGTGTTGTTCGGTCCTACAATGGCTTGCAAGGTTTTACTTCCGAGTCTGATTGTGGATTAGATCACAACTCTGAATCAAATTCAAGCTATCATGTTGCACAAAAGAGGAAGTTAGATGGGCATCTCACTGTTAAGAATAAATTCTTGCATATTTCTGGTGCATTGGAAGCTCATATGACTACATTAAGTAAGGAGATTATGAATTCAGGAAATATCAAAATTCTTATTGATGAAGTCCCTACTCTAAATGATTCTAGCATGGATAGGAGAGGAAGTACGAAATTGGGACTTGACATTGATGGCAATGTCAAACGGGATGAAAAGAAGAGACAGATTCAACAGTTCATGGAGGTGAATAGCCATTATATGATATTACTTCCGAGTACAAGAGATGATGAATGGGAAATATATCTCAGTAACCTGAAATCTGAAAAGCAGTTAGATGATGGTGAGACTGCACTAGGGAGCTGTGAAGAAGGAGTAGAAATCATAGTCTATCCTAAGATTCTTGATGGAGTGCAGCAGTTTGTTTCTGAGAAAAGAATAAGCTATGTTCGTGTTGATGGGCAGTTTTCTATTCAACCATTCCATAACTCAAAAGAGGCTGAAGAAAAAGCTCATAGACAAGAGCAAAAGAATGCAGTCAACCTGTATATCCTTTATGCAAAGGATGCCCCGAATGGAGCTCAATGGCAGAACTTGCTGAAGATTGTCAATATTGGAATACTTGCTGAAGCGTACGGAACTTCATTAGATATCTCTTCTGCTGCTGAAATG